CATTATGTTTGAACTAGAGAGCATCATATGCTACATTAAGAATAAGAGGGGGAAAATTATTTTCCCTTGAGCACATGCTAATGTGAAAAAATATAATTCTAACAATAAAAATCACTCTAATAAGCAAATTTATCATAACACCGAAGACCACTGGTAAACCACTTCATGTAATAGATATCATAGCATAGAAAGGTCCTGAATAAGAACACATACTTTCTGTCATTTCTATAAGCTAATTCCTTCAAATTTCAACATTTTGTAGAATATATTTGTTGCTGGATCAGACACATCCTCAGCAACACTAGATTGGACAATGGCAGAGCTCATGAGAAATCCCGAAGTCATGAGAAAAGCACAAAATGAGGTGAGAAGAATCATCAGAAACAAAGAAAAAGTAGTCGAAAGTGACCTCGACCAACTTCACTATATGAAGTCAATTGTGAAGGAGTCATTGAGACTACACTCACCAGTACCATTGCTTGTTCAAAGGGAGACTATACAACACTTTAAAATCAACGGCTATGATATCCCTGCAAAAACAAGGCTCTTGATCAACATGTGGACGATAGGAAAAGATGGAGATGTTTGGGAAAATCCAGAAGAATTCTATCCAGAAAGATTTATAGACAGTTCTGTAGATTTCAGAGGCCAACATTTTGAGCTCATACCATTTGGTGCAGGACGAAGAATTTGTCCTGGGTTGAACTCCGGAATGCTAGTCGTTGAGCTTGCCCTCGCTAATCTTCTTTATCTTTTTGATTGGGAAATGCCAAATGGGATGACGAAAAATGAAATTAATATGAGTGAATCTCCTGGTGTCACAGTGCATAGACGATTTCCTCTTCGTCTTCAAGCCAAAAGATTTTCAGGGTTGCAGAAATAATCTCTATGTTGATACACAATAGATAATATATTCTATATGGAAATAATGTTAAATATTGATAAGTTCTTGTAGTTTGTGCGTCTTCTTGAATAAGATGTGGAAATTTTAGTAAGCCATATTGTATGCTCTAAGTAATGAGAGATAAGATGTGGAAATTTTAGTAAGCCATATTGTATGCTCTAAGTAATGAGAGATTAGTGTATCTAATTTCACCGCTCACTTTGATCGTACAATTCTTGTAATTTTGAAGAACATTTCATTTAAGTTGAGCAACTGGCCAATAATAGTGACATAGTACACTTATATCAATTTCTTGCTTTATCCTTGCAAATCCATTTTTTATGATAAAAATGATTTTATGAAATGCTGAAACTACATACCAACAAAAATAAGTCTGTCATTTAACTCTACTATTTGTATGCACGTGCACTGCACGTGGTTAAATTTTGAAGAACATTTCATTTAAGTTGAGCAACTGGCCAATAATAGTGACATAGTACACTTATATCAATTTCTTGCTTTATCCTTGCAAATCCATTTTTTATGATAAAAATGATTTTATGAAATGCTGAAACTACATACCAACAAAAATAAGTCTGTCATTTAACTCTACTATTTGTTATGCACGTGCACTGTACGTGGTTAAATATCATAATTATTTATTTTAATATGAGTGAATCTCCTGGTGTCACAGTGCATGGACGATTTGCTCTTCGTCTTCAAGCCAAAAGATTTTCAGGGTTGCAGAAATAATTTCTATGTTGATACACAATAGATAATATATTCTATATGGAAATAATGTTAAATATTGATAAGTTCTTGTAGTTTGTGCGTCTTCTTGGATAAGATGTGGAAATTTTAGTAAGCCATATTGTATGCTCTAAGTAATGAGAGATTAGTGTATCTAATTTCACCGCTCACTTTGATCGTCCAATTCTTGTAATTTTGAAGAACATTTCATTTAAGTTGAGCAACTGGCCAATAATAGTGACATAGTACACTTATATCAATTTCTTGCTTTATCCTTGCAAATCCATTTTTTATGATAAAAATGATTTTATGAAATGTTGAAACTACATACCAACAAAAATAAGTCTGTCTTTTAACTCTACTATTTGTATGCACGTGCACTGCACGTGGTTAAATATCATAATTATTTATTTTTAGTTTATTTTCTTACTAAAATTTATTCTTCAATTTAAATTTGATAGTTTTGCTCACTTATGTCTCTAAAATTTAATATTGTGATTATTTATCTTTTTTAATGTTTGTTTGAATGGGCTACACCCAATTTTAAATTTTATATTGATAATTAAATTGACATGAAACCAACGTGAAGTAGAATAGTCATCCACAAAAGTGACGAACCAATGTTGACTACCAAGTGATGTCGTCTTAGTGGGACCACATACATCCGTGTGCACGTAGTCCAAGATGCCGGTTGTCCTATAAATGGTTGTCCCGAACCTTACTTTAGTCTTCTTACCAAGAATACAATGCTCACATAATTTAATTTTCCCACTCTTGGCTCCCTTCAATAATCTCTGCTTGCACAACGCCTGCAATGATTTTCCCCCTGCGTGCCCAAGTCTGAAATGCCAAAGTCTGCTAGCATCCGCCTCTGAAACTGCTGAAGCTACCTGACCAATCTTGGTACTTCCCTTCAGATAATAGAGATTTCTATTGCGGATACCTTTTATCACTACTAATGATCCTTTAGTAACTTTAGCTACACGTTCTCAAAAGTTATCTTGAACCCCTTTGTCTCTAAAGCTCCCACAGAAATAAGATTATTCTTCAGTTGAGGAACACATCTTACTTCATTCAATTCTCTCACTACTCCATCATGCATCCGAATCCTGATGGTACCTATTCCACAAATGCTATAGGACTGAATGTTTCCCATAACCACCACACCCCCATCGAGTTTCTCAAATGATGCAAACCAATCTCTCCGGGGAGTCACATGATAAGTAGCATCAGAATCCCACATCCAATCTGATGCTTTCGTATGGTTAATCTCTGGAGTAATCAAAATAGAAAAGCATGAATCATCGGAATCGTCACCACTTCTAACAACATTCACATCACTGGCCTTCGGGTCCTTCTTCTTGCTATTCTCCTTCTCTCTCAGCTTCGAACAATCTCTCTTCCAATGTTCTTGTTCTCTACAGAAAGCACACTGATTTTTTACAATTTGGTAGTGGCCTCTTGACTCCTTCCTCGATTACCACCTATAGGATAAGGACTCCTTCCTCTTGTCGACAAGGCTTCTCCTGAAGTACTAGCTCTGGAAGATTATTTATCCTTCCTCCTCAAATCAAAATTTGTCAATGCATTAGTCACTTCACTATAGGTGATGGAAGATCTACCATTCAACAATGTAAGCACAAATATAACAAAATTCTCATCGGGTAATGAGCCTAACAAAATGATCGCATTGTACTCATCCGATATCTTCTCATCAACATTGGCCAAGTCCGACAACAACTTCGTATTGTTGTTCACATGATATGCAAGTGAGGTACGTACCCCTGGACATCTGGAATCTGAATAATCTCCCCAGCAAGTGCAATCGATTCTCAACACTCTTTGTAAGATACTTGTTGTTAAGAATCTCCCACATCTTCATCGCAGACGTCAGTTTCAAGAGTTCATTGATTTGTGTTTTGGTAAATAGGTGTTTGTTAAGTTTGGGAAAGAATGCATTTTTTGTTGGGTCGTTTGTCGTTGAATCACAATTTGTTTTACATCAATTATTTGTCCACTAGTAGGCATTAATTAAATTTGGGAAAATGAATCTCTTAGTTTGGCTCTTGACCTTAGTTGGATTCCAAACTTTTTAGATTCATTTATTGATTCCCAATAAACAGCTTATAGTTTGATTCATCCTTGTAGGCTTGTTGCATGTCTATTACTTGCTACTTTTACTATTTAAGTCTACTTATGAAGGTAAAAAGAAAAATGCACCATTGTTTGGGGTAGAGATTCTTTACATCATTGGAGATTCTCTATAATTCACTAAGCGAAACTCTTCGCTTAGTGGACACCATGAATTATATTAATTATTTTAATAATATAAAAATACTTTTAATTGTGTGACCCACTGAGATAAGTCAAAAATATTAGCCCACCTAACTATTTATTGTCTTTATGTCTACAAGTTGAGAATATTTCAGTTGGTTTAAGTTAAAATTTCCGAAATTACCCTTATTGATGATTTATTCTTGGGAAAATTGTGTCGGGCCCCAAAAGCAGAAACTTCATGTGCTGTAGCCTCTTCAACTTTTCCCCATGTGGTTCAGCCCCTTAAAATGTGACATTTTGTGCTGCAGCCCCTTTATAGCAATTATTACATGCCAACTAAGCTAAAATCCCCAAAATGTCATTATCCCCTCTCATCAATCCCTCAAACACAATGTTCTCTCATCTCCTCTCTCTCTCTCTCTCTCTCTCTCTCTCTCTCTCTCCCCCCTCTCCTTCTCTCCTCTCCTCTCTCTCTCTCTCCTCTCTCTCTAAAACCAAA